CTTTTCTTCCAACAATTTATATATATATATATATTGTTTATTATATTTCTTTCTTTTTTCTTTTTTTCTTTTTCCTTGCACTTTTTTTACTCATTCTATTTTTTGTTTTTCTTTAAGTTTAGTTTGTATTGGGTTTTACTATTATAATCAAAATTCTTGATTAATATTACATGTATGCATGTATGTATGTCAAAGAACATCACCACTGGGAACCATCTCTACTTTTTGAAGCTTACCTTAGAGCAAAAGATCTATAAATCAAAGGGTTTTTCCTACCTGATGTGAATCCTGTATGAAAACCTGCAATAATAGTAAACAGGATGACTGTTGCAGAGTGTTCTACAGGAAAATAATTGAGGGCATTGCTGACATGCCGCCACATAAATGTATTACTATGCTGCAGTATCCTTGATGGAATTGTGCACCTTAATTAATTCATCAGTAGGTATGAAAGTAAATGTCTGACATTTTATGATTACCTCCTTTGTAAATCTTGCTTCTAAGGATTTGGCTGTTTAAGATGGTATTCACATCAACGTATGAATTTAGAATGTACTTACAGATATTTGCCATTACTAGAATGATCCAGCAAGACCATAAAAACAAGTAAAGGTAGTCCTCAACCTACGACCACAATTGAGCCCAAAATGTATGTTGTTAAGTGAGAAATTGGTTAAATGAGTTTTGCCCCATTTTTACGACTTTTCATGCCACATTTGTTAATTGAATCACTGAAGTAGTTAAATTAGTAACACACTTGTTAAGTGAATCTGGCTTCCTCATTCTCTTTGCTTTTCGGAAGGACGTAAAAGGTGATTGCATGACCACAGGACACTGCAAATGTCATAAATATGAACCAGTTGTCAAGCATCCAAATATAAATCATGTGACCATGGAGATGCTCCCTCGGTTATAAGTGTGAAAAATGGTCATAAGTCACATTTTCAGTGCCATTGTAACTTTGAATGGTCACTAAATGAACTGCTGTAAGTTGAGGACTGCCTGAATGCTCTTTCGTTTCTTCCACTCAATTCCAATGCTAACGACCAAGCAAACCAGGAAATCTCACTGGTGATTAATTTGTTCCACCAATGTGTACATATTTCAGGTCTTCATGTATATAATATCAAACAAATGATAGGGAGTTTGGTTTGTTTAGCCACCTTTGCTGGCACAAAGATTCCAGTGGGAGCAATTAAATATGTCGTACTAATTTGTTTGCTCAATCACACTAAACCAAAAGACTAGAATTGCAAAAGAATTCTATATTCTGAACTGGGTCCTCATTTTAATATCAGTTGAGAAATTAAAATACATGTATAGGGGATCTAGCTCAGATTTCTATTTTATATATTTACCAAAATATTGCGTAGAGGAATCCTGCATACTACCTCTGATTCCTTCAGAAAGAAGAATTCAATAAATTGAATGTAATTGTGGAGCACTTAACAATTCTGTGCCCCCTGCTTTTCAAGCTGAAAACACACGAGATAATGAGCTAGAGAGATAATTATCTTTAAAAGACATTCATCTGTGAAAGAATTTATGATATTCAACTAAATCACCAGAGGATTATAAAAGATTAATAGCCTTATATTTCTTGGTGGAATATGAAGACATGCAACTATAAGGAGACATGTCAGCAGTTTACCTACCTGCACAAATTTCCTATTATCTGAGATATGAACTTCAACAAGGCATAAAAATAATTGAAAATAAGATATTTTTTGTTAAGTTTGGTATCAAGATTGCTATTTTTAAAGGAGATAATCAGATGTACATTAAAGAAAGCTTTTTCTCCTCCCCATGAATTTTTCCAGAGCTGTTGTTAGAATCATTGATTCATATTTTCCAATCACTGAATTAATTGTGCCTCTCCCTTCAGCATTCCATAATCTCTTTCCTTCATTAAATAACCTAACCCCCAAATTCTAGCATCTAACTCTTTTACCATAATTTGATTATGATATTTTTAAAATTAACCAAAATGGTTTGCTCCCCATGATCATTTTGTATAATAGAAGTGGGGTTGTAGGTGTGCATTGGTGTGTAAGTGTGCATGCATGCACATAGTATGTCAATACCTTGTATAAATAGACAAGACAGAATAAGTCTTTCAATATAAACTTCTCTGTGGCAGCTCCTGCCCTCTGGAATGACCTACCCCCCGACCTACGTACAGTTGCGGACCTGCGCCTTTTTCGCCGAGCCCTGAAGGCCCATCTATTCTGTGCGGCCGGCCTGGCGTAGTTTGATTATGTTTTAGTGGGGGTTTTGTATGGGGTACTTTTAGAGCAGGCCTGTTATTTAATTTGATTTTAGAACAGAAACTTGTGTATATTATCGTGGTTTTTATTATCGCCTGTTCACCGCCCTGAGTCCCGTAAGGGAGATAGGGCGGTATATAAATTCAATAAATAATAATAATAATAATAATAATAATAATAATAATAATAATAATAATAATAATAATAATAATGAAGAGAGGCGAAGGATCATGTGCTTTTAACTTTTTTATATTGAATGATGAATCTATCCAGAAAGGAAAAGCGCAAAGTATTCTAAGCGTGTTCACAATTCCATTCGGGTTGCATAGTTTTGGCAAAATATTAATAGTAGTAATAGTCAAGCATGATGATGCTACGAATGTATAAAAAGATAGTTTAGTTTGCTGTCAATATTTTCCAAGTAAATTTGGACTGATGGGGGGAGACATAAAAAGCAACTAACTGTGTCTATGTAGTTTTGCAATTATTCATGAAGAGCCATGCACTTTGTTCCCCCAGAAAAGAGGTACGGTGTTTCCCCGAAAATAAGACAGGGTCTTACTGTATATTAATTTACCCCATTCTGAATCTGCTGCCATATTTTCTAGAATCAAAGGTCCCACTAAAAAGAGAAGAAAAGAAATACCCGGTGTGATTATCTGAGCATAATATTCCACTGAAAAGAAGAAGAAATGGTATACGGTTTCCTGCCTGAGCAGGGGGTTGGACTAGATCAGGGCTTTTCAACCTTTTCACCCATTGTACCACTTTTAGGATATGGCAATATCCGAGTCGCCTAGCAAGGTGTCAAAAACTTAATGACCCTCCCCAAAAAGGAAAAAAGTGATGATGTACAGGTAGTCCTCGATTTACAACAGTTCGCTTAGTGACTGTTCGAAGTTACAATGGCACTGAAAAAAGTGCCCCCCAAGCCACAGCCAAGCAAGACACCTGCCTGCCTACTCAGCGGCGCTCTTCCTCCTGTCCAAGGTTTTCATTGTTGTGAGCATTTCTGTTGAGGATTGGCAGCGGGGGTGGGGTGGGGGGGTGTTTGATTTTTATTCCCCCCGTCCGCTGGGTGATTGCAGCAGGTTTTGGTCACTTCACATGATCCTGGGACACTGTGGCCGTCATAAATATGAATCAGTTGCCAAGCATCTGAATGTAAATCACAAGACCCTGGAGATGCTGCAACATTCCAGCTGATCGGCGCTTCTTCTGGGCTCAGCAGAAGTGCCAGGATCAGCGCCAAGCTCCAGCTGGAGCTTGGCGCTGATCCTGGCGCTTCCACTGAGCCCTGGCAGCCCCGAAGAAGTGCTGATCCTGGCGCTTCCGCTGAGCCCTGACAGCCCTGCAGCTCCAGCCATCTCTCACTCAGGTTTGTGCGGTGCTGCCACCAGTTCAGCTCATTCCCCTCCCCTGCTACCACTTTTTTAGGATAGTCGCGTACCACTTGCCAGATGCTAATGTACCACAGGTGGTACCCGTACCACTGGTTGAAAAGCCTTGATCTACTATACTTCTTCAATACTCCCGCTTCAAACAAGCTACCGCATGAAGATAAAGTGTTGCTGTTTTTTGTCATCTTGCACCATGGGTCACTGGACAGGTGTTATAGAACAGGAGACATTAGTTTTCCATGAGTTATTAGAGCTCTGTAAAAAATATGAGTGTCTTGGCTCAAACCTCACAACAACCATTTGGTTTTGTTTGCTGTACTAAAACCTAAAGTCCAGGTTACTGTGGATGGTCCTTTTTCACCAAGTTTTGAGGCTTACCTGATAATTGGTGCATTTTCCAGATATGAAATATGAAATATGGCATCTTGGATTGCTGGAAAAAGTAATCTGGAGTATGACTGGAATAAAGAGACTTATATTTCTCAGCAACTGATAATAATAGTAATATATATCTCGCCGTTCTTCTTCTCATAGTGCAGATAATCACTATGGCTCTTAGCCATTATTATTATGTGCTATCTCTTTTGTATTAATTGAATTCCATGTAAAGCTGTCCTAATTAAGAGACACTGCTACATTTAGACCGAATGGATTGAGAAGATCAAGAAAACAAAAATCCTGCTTGTTCTTTTATGTATTACAGCAATTTAATTTGTAATTAAACTCCATTGGCCTGTTTTCTTCTCGCATGTGGAATAACTAGTACAGTAAAAGCAATTATAGGATTGAAATTATGAATAGAAAATTCGGCTGCATTGCTGGAGAAAATGATACAGCAGATTTTCAGAGCTTCAAACTCCATAGGTATAAGGATCATTTGCAATACGAAATGTACTCACAACCTCTCCTCCCCCCCCCCCCATCTCTCTATCTCTCTGGGCTCATCTGCTAAATTTCCTTTCATCCTCAGCCAGTTCTGAAACATTCTCTGCCAGTTTAGTATATATCCTGCTGAAGCTTTCTGTGCAAACATTACTTGTAAATCGATTGACAGAGTGTAAAGTATATCTTCATATATTTGTTCTTGAATGCTCATTTATCTTTTGGAGTGTTGATTTTTGTAGCAGCCATATTAAGCGTGAATGAATGAAAACTACAGGGATGGCAGAAGTATAACACAGACCAATTAATTCAATTATAGTTTATTGTGTTTATTTAAATGATCTCTCTCAAATTTAGTCTCAGTTACAGTTCTGAATTAAAGGACAAAAGACTCTTCTTCCATGCCTCTTTCTGCATTTCTAAACATAATAAGGGTTTTCTTCTTTTTCAGATGTTTGATTGGATCAGCCATAACAAAGAGTTGTTCCTGCAGAGTCACACTGAAATTGGAGTGAGCTATCAACATGCCCTTGATTTACAAACACAACATAATCATTTTGCTATGAATTCCATGGTGAGTATGTAACAGATTTTCTCTAAGGAGGTACATGAGATATATATAGTGTAAGAGGGTAAGATATGGGGAACCAATTAAAAGAGGTGAAGGCATCCACCAAATGCTTGATCAGTAAAAGATCAAATTGACCATCTTGCAGTAGCTTCTTGTTATATGAAATTTAAAAAAAACCCTGTCTTTGAGAATACTGCTATCCAATGGAATCTTTACCAGATATACAGCATAGGATGCCTTTAATGTGATCATTAAATTAAAAATTAATACTCAACTAGTTTAAATTTATACATATGTGATTTCTGTTTGTGTAAGTTAATAACCACCTTCTAACGAAAATGTCAAATATGACTTGAATGCCTTCTCTGATTACTTGGTCAATGAAATGCTTATTTTCAACTTTGGTATGAATTCCAGACAACAAATCATTGTGTATTGAAGTTTTCATTTTTATTGCTTTAATATTCAAAAATAAAGGGAGAAAAGGAAAAAAACAGAAATCAAAAAGAGGGGATGGTCCCTGCTGCATGGCTTCTGTTCACCCAGGCCTTCACTTCATAATGTTTCCATTTTTTATTTTTTTGAATGTTTAATTGGTTTTATTATAATTTTTTGGTTGTTGTGAGCATAAACAGGAAGAAGCTACACATTGGTGATCCAAGCATGTAAATCAGTACATTTACATCTTTACTAAAATCTTTGGAATTCAATATTAATAAACCAAAATAGGCAATAAGACAAGTGCATCTTATATAAGTAAGCGACTACTCACACATTTTATATTGCCAACAAAGTGAGGCTGAAAGCTGACTCTTTCAATCTGGGCAGGGAGGGTTCAAGAAAGAGGAAAACTAATCTTTTATTGAATTAGTTTCATTTTAAGGTATTCTTTTAGCTCTTAGCCAATCACTGATTGATATGGGATATTCCGGCTAGTTATTCCAAAGTTCTTGCAAAACAATATCCAGTTAACAATATTTTTTTACAAAAAAAAGTTGTTAAGTCTACAACTTTTGTTCCACTTATGCTAGCAATTTTAAATCTGAAGTAAATGGTGAAATCAAGAAATATTTTAATTAAAAAACCTACCATTTTGCAATTTTACACAACGTCAAATTTCTATTTAAACTCAATTTTTATTTAAAAAAATCTTGACAAAACTGATTTAAAGTTGAGGCAGTTTTCAAAACTGGATTATAGCAGGGAGTTTGTTATGTAATAAGGATTGAAGGAGTCACATAACTCTCTGATTATGCCCATAATACTTTTTTCACAATAAATTGTGTTCCATTAAAAAAGTGAACTCAGAATATGTGCCTAAAGATAAAGATAAAAATAATTAAGAAAATATAGTTGGGAGTTCTTTATGAAAACATTTTTAATATATCAATATGCTTAAAATAAATGTATTCATCTAAGGAAACCTCTAAATCAGGGGTGTCAAACTCAATTTCATTATGCATCAGCATTATGGTTTCCCTCAGGGGGCCGGGTGGTTGTGGCCAGGGTGGGTGCAGCCTACCGGGTGGACGTGGATGGAGTGGGTGTGGCCTACTGGGTGGGCATGGCCAGCTCTACATCATTCGCATCAAGGGTGCCTGTGGGGGCCTGGGCAGGAGTGGGACAGATCTGAGGGTCTCTGGCAGAAAGGGGTGGGGCCAGGGCAAGTGCCAAGACATGGTTCACTGGAGGAGCCTCACTGTTCCTCTCAGGCCATGCAGGGGGGCTGGATAGTGGTGCGCACTGCCTGGAGCCCTGGGCAGCAGAGGTCAAACGTCCAGCCTGGCCCTCAAGGACCCGCGGCACCAAGCCCAGCCCCACTTCCCCAAGGGGACACCCAGCTGCACTTACTTCCTCCTCAAGGCTGCTGCTGCTGCTGCTGCTGTGCTTGCTCTCCTTAGCCAAGTTGCTCATGATTGGTACGAGGGCAAAGTCAGAGGGAGGCCCATTCCCTCTCCATGGGAGGAGACCCGGCTTTGTATCCAAAGCTTCCTTAGCAATAGGATGGGAGACCCCCAGGATAGGCCAGAGGAGGGGGCAAGGGGATGGTGAAAGGGCAGCAGGGCAGGACTAAGGCAAGATTTCCCCTCACACCCTCTCCCTCCCTCCCTCCCTCCCTCCCTCCCTTCCTTCCTTCCTTCCTTCCTTCCTTCCTTCCTTCCTTCCTTAGTATAGAGTGGTGGGAAAATATTTGAGATGAGGGAGGGAGAAAAACAGGCAAGAAACGCAGCTGGGGAGGTGTCACCCTTCGTGAGGAATGAAGAAATGCACCATTGCCTGGAAGTGGCCAGCACATGGCCCTCACCTACTTCATATATCTGGCTTGGTGGGCTCTGACGGATGGGATGCCATGAGCAACCTGAGAGTCAACGTTACCTGCGCAATGCCGCCCAGCCTCCAGCCTGCCCAGTTTCGGCAGGCAGCGGGGTGCTTTCCTCACAGTGCCAAGAGGCTGAACCGGGCAGCGCAAATCCAAAAAGAAGCGCGATGCTTCCCAGCCCCCAGCCTGCCCGGTTTCGGCAGGCAGTGTGGTGCTTTCCTCATAGCGCCAAGAGGCTGAACTGGGCGGCGCAAATCCAAAAAGAAGCGCAATGCTTCCCAGCCCCCAGCCTGCCCGGTTTTGGCAGGCAGCGGGGCGCTCTCACAGCGCCGAGAAGTTGAGCTGGGCGGTGCGAAGCTTGCCAGCTTTGCACCTTGCTGCCTGCTGAAACGGGGCAGGCTGGGGGCTAGGCAGCATTGCACTTCTCATCAGATTCGCGCCACCTGGCTCAGCTCTTGGCGCTGTGAGGAGAGCGCCTTGCTGCCTGCCGAAACTGGGCAAGCTGGGGCCTGGGTGGCATTGCGCTTCTTTTGGGATTCGCGCCACCTGGCTCAGCCTCTTGGCACTGTGAGGAGAGCGCCCTGCTGCCTGCCGAAACCCCCCAGATCCCATCAAGCCAGACATGTGAAGTAGGCGAGGGCCATTTGCTGGCCACTTCCAGGTGATGGTGCATTTCTTTATTCCTCACAAAGGATGACACCTCTCCAGCATGCACCCAGGGGGCGGGACCGATGCGGCAGGGGCTGTTTCCTCGCTCTTTCCAGATGGCCTTGTGGAGCTAAGACTGAATCCGTTTTAGCATAGATGGCCACCACAAAATTGTACATTGGCTCCCGGCCGGCCTGGGCCAGAGCCAAGGCAGCGGGGGCCATTCCCTCACTGTTTCCAGGATGGCTTTGCGGGCCACATGAAACCACTTTGCAGGCCGCATCCAGCCCACGGGCCTTGTATTTGACATGTCTGCTCTAAATAAACAGATCAATCTTAAAATAATATCAATTGCATTGCTTTTATTTTTTTCCCCATATTTCAGTGGGACTTTTAATCATGTAACATTTCCCCATGAAATATTTTTTCCTAGATATTTAAAAGCATTAAAGCCAACAGTTGAAATCCTAATTATTAGAAATTTTCATAGAAAGATTAGCTTCCAAGGGAATTGTATAACATACTCCTAATTAATTCAATAACCTCATACATTATTTATATTTATGAACTGTATACATCCCTCAATCAGATCAATCCCAGATTCAAAAAAATTGGTATAGAAAATACTTAAATATAGAAAATATATAAGCATCAGTGAGACATATCATATCATTAACAGTTAATAGCAGTTTATGTTGTTACCACTACTGTTGTACTCAAAATGGTCTCCACTAAAGAAGACCAATTGTTCTCATATCAAATTAAAAGAAAAGGATTCAAGAGACATCTTTGATGAGTTTTACAGATTCATTTTGAAAATGTATAGATAATTCCAATAGTACCACACATTGATCCAAATAATAGTAAAAGTAGAAAATATTTGTAGAATGCCAAAGATTTTTTTACAGCCCACAAACTAAAACAGATTTCAGTTTTCTGAATAAATACACAGAATATCAATTAGTAATCCAATTATTAATGCAAATATTGTCAAGTAGGGATCCTAGGTGTGGTTTTTTTGGGTACCTCCCACTCAGTATCTATGGAGGTTCTCAGTCATCCAGGTCATGGTTGTCCCAAAAGTGCTTTTTCAGGAGGCAACTGGACTTTCTTGTTTTTCTTTGAAGACAATGCTTCTTTGAAGCTTCTTGGTTGAGAAGCGAAACATCTTTGAAGAAAAACCCGAAGGTCCAGTTGCCTCCGGAAAAAGCATCTTTTGGACTCCCACTCAATACCCCTGTCCTGTTTGATGAGTAACTATTGAGGAACACACTTTGAATTAAATTTTTGAACTCATATATCCTTAATTGTCATACGGTACAATGAACTAACTTGGAAATCAGGTTGCTAAAAGATACTTGGGAAAATCAAGATATATTATGTACATCACATACCCATGTTCTCTTATGGAAGTTTCTTGATTACTAATGAGATGGATTAGTCTCAAGCAAGAAGTGGAAAAACGATGCCAAAATGTGAAGAAATCAGAGACCAGTCATTGGCAGGGTGTAGAGAGGAACTTCTCCCTCTCCGTCTTTATTGCTTTTTTATACAGTTTTCCAAGAAGCAAAAGTTTAACATGGCAACAGCATAGCAACAGCATTTTATTGCTCAAACTCCTTGCCAACTCCTTGCCAATCCTTAAGAATATACCAGCCAGGAGGCCCCAAACAGGGAACAGTTTGCTGCAGCATCCTGTTGAGGTAACCTAGCTAATACCATGTGAACCAGGTGAAGTCATGTACCAGCCTGGGGTAGTTTTCCACATGACCATGGCAATGTGAACAGATGAGATCATGTAGAGAGAAGAGGCATGCAGGCTTTGGAGGGGCAGTTTGCTGCTCACGACCTCTACCTGACCCCTATCTCTACAAAAATGACAACATGAGTATGGGAACATCATGTAAATACTTTAATTATGATTTGGTTTCTGATTGTGTGATAAAATTATATTATATAATATACAGAACTTCATAATACAATTTTAATTGTTCCCCCTGATTTCCTATATATTGCAGATGCCCATAATGTCAAGATTCTTGACAGATCCATTCTAATTTCTGTTAATTCTTAAACTACTTTCAAGGCATTTATAGATAAACACTCTTTATCTCTGGAACATTCCAAAATCCTCACCAGATTGATTGTTCTATAGTGTTAAGTCTTCCTTTTTCTTCGTTTTGAATATAGACCTATATGACATTTTCTTTTTTCTGATTATCTGGTGCCCAGAATTGCTCTGACAAGGGTATAGGTGGTATGTAAACATGATAAATAAATACAATTGTCCAGGATTTCTTAAAAATAATTTCTGCAAAATTCTCAAGTAATATTTTCAGCACTCTAGAAGTCAATTCATTTAGTCATGAGAGTTAAACACATTCAGAATATACACCAGTCAAAAGTGCAATGATGAATTTTTTTTTTTTTTTTTAAAAATGCTGATACAATCACAACTTTGCATAACTCGCATTGCTGAATGATCAATTGTTTTCACATTTTACTTGTTGCATTTTTATCACAAATCCAGCATATGGATTGTGGTTGTTGGAATAAGCTGTCTGAATTAAAATATCAGCTGAACTCTTAAGAACCTTTTAGCAATTTCCTCATTAATAAAAAAGCTATAGTGTGAAATTAAATTTCAGTAGCCATTAAGAATTTAAAGTCACTAAATATTATATAGCAATATGTAGACTAAGAATTTCAGGGCTATTCAGAAACACTTTCTATTACCATAGTGTAGTATTACATCTATAGATTAATTTGTTATTAAAAAGGCAAACTGGCTTTAAAATATATTTGGGGATCTCATTAATTTAATTAGTTGCCTAAACCAAGTTACATTTTCCTCCTTAAGCACAACTCACCCTGGTTGCCATTGTATATTTAAATAGCTCGCTCCACATGCTGCTTATTCTAATTGAAGCTATTCATAACTGCTTTATAGAAACTGGCTTATGCTTTGATGTAACCCTTTGGAAGGGCAAGTCGTGACTTCAGAAAAGGGTGAATTCTGTTTTCAAACATGTCTCTATCAGCCCACCCGTTATCAAACTAATTTGCCAAAAATTAGGATAACTTGTACTTTCTTCCTGAAGTTATAAACTAGCATAGGAAAGGATTACACTTTTCCATTAACGTAGCACCTTTTTACAATTTTATTTTAATCATATAAATTCTTTTGTCCCCATACTCTTGCCTTAACTCCTTCATGTGATTTCATAAAATGTTACAGTGTTCCACTTTATCTTATAGGCTGCTTTGATGAGATATGTATATTAAAGAAACAGTTTCAAATATCCTGTAATTCTTTGAATGGCCCTGGGGTTTTCATAATCCTTTTGGCCCTCAGGACTGGGCAAATGCTTCAAAACAAATAATAATTCAGTTTACATCATGTTTATACTGCTCTCTTTCTAGCATCCAGGAAAAAGAGCTTCTTTTCGCAGAAATAATTGGCTTATTCTGGTAATGGGTTTTGCATATTCTGTCTCTGTAGCAGGACAAATATTTACTATAAATCAGGAAAAAGAGAATAAGTTCAATTAGAGTATTTTATATTGTACTAAAAAACTCTTTTTTGCACATATAGGAAATTATGAACACTTTGTATTATGTATGTACATAGACTGAAATATGTCGGTATGAGCTTTATCAAAATAGTATATTGGTGCCTATATTTATATACCTCAGAAAATGAACTGCGTAATCAGAGGAATCATGTTGCTAGAATGCATTACATTATGCTGTAGATCAGCTATTTAAATACTTCAACATGAAAATTGTACAATAAATCAGAAATGTTCCAATCAATTTTTTTTTTTGACCAGGTTTATCTTCAGATGCAGCAAACACTGCACAAACAGCATTCTTCTCCAACCTCAATGCCCCCCAGGCATGTGGAGTTCAGCTTCCCAATTCTCACCAATAATCATGGTGGATGGGGAATTCTGGGAGATAAAATCCATACATATGGACCATGGGCAAGAAGGCTAATATAGGGACTGTATTCAGACACTGAATCTTTTATCTGCAGATCTGTTATATGTTGCATCAAGCGATACAAACTTTATCGTATGATTTTGTTGACTGTTCAGCTTGACTTTTAGATTGTTTTCACTACTACTTTGATTGTAAATGTTCTTCTTACCCTCCTCAACTGTCTCCTTTTAAAACATTTTATCGGATTATGTGGTGGAATGTCTGGAGTCCTAAGAGTGTGGGGCTGCTTTTCAGAGGGCAAAGAGGCAAAGCAGCTTGGAAAGTCTGGTAGACAGGAAAGGGGGTACGGTGACCCCTTCCTAGCAATTCACAGGGTATATCTATAGTTATGCAGATAGTAGCTTTAGTCCACACTTGGAATACTGCATCCAGTTTTGGTCACCACGATGTAAAAAAGATGTTGAGACTCTAGAAAGAGTACAGAGAAGAGCAACAAAGATGATTAGGGGACTGGAGGCTAAAACATATAAAGAACGGTTGCTGGAATTGGGTATATCTAGTTTAATGAAGAGAAGGACGAGGGGGGACATGATAGCAGTGTTCCAATATCTCAGGGGCTGCCACAAAGAAGAGGGAGTCAAGCTACTTTCCAAGGCGCCTGAAGGCAGGACAAGAAGCAACGGATGGAAACTAATCAAGGAGAGAAGCAACCTAGAACTAAGGAGAAACTTCCTGACAGTTAGAACAATTAACCAGTGGAACAACCTGCCTCCAGAACCTGTGAATGCTCCAACACTGGAAGTTTTTAAGAAGAGACTGGACAGCCATTTGTCTGAAATGGTATAGGGTTTCCTGCCTGAGCAGGGGGTTGGACTAGATGACCTCCAAGGTCCCTTCCAACTTTATTATTATTATTATTATTATTATTATTATTATTATTATTATTATTATTATTATTATTATTATTATTATTATTA